ATACAGTTTTATGCTATTGATGCATCATCTTCATGCTCAAAAACACACTTTCAGACATATTCTGATAAAAACAAATGCATTTTTCTGGTGAAATTACTTAGTATCTTTCAAGTCAACAACCTGCTTTCTGTCACGGTTGAGATTTCTGCTCTGAAAATATATTCACATTTGTAAATGAATTCCATATGAACTATCGACATATTTAGACATATTCAGACTTTCCAGAAAGCTAAATGTAATTGTGCATCTTGGTAAGTTTCGTAAAGTTTCCATTTTATATTAATTTCCCCTTTCCAAATTGGTAATAAATAAGTGTTTATTTGTTTCTCCTTTCCAAATAAATTAGCAGATAATTCTGTTTGTTCTCATTTGCATGTATTAGTTTACAGATTTCTCCCAGAATTTTTATTGTTAACAAGATGCTGAGAGATGTTGTTTTTAGATCTGCTTAAAGCAGAAATTCCTGCAATAAAGCAACTAAATTAGCATAAATAATTAAAGGGGAAAAAATATTACTGTCTGCACACCACGATACAGCTAGCTTCCAAACATTAATTGCTTCAGCATACACAAAGTGTACATTATTCCACTGTGTCAAACATGGTATTAAAGTATACAGATTTCTCTATAAGTTTTGAAACTTTCAAAGGCCGGTGTTTTTTGTAAGAGCAGGGAGGGTGGTGAGCTGCAATGACTAAAAAGATAAGGAGAGACAAATACCCTCTGATGTGTGATCTCACAGGATGTGACTGACAAAGACACAAATCTGGATTTAACTTCTTTCTCAAATTTCGTTTCTAAAATCACAATCCATGTTGGGGAGGGAATACATCTTTTTGAGAAAACCCCAAATGAATCCGTAATCTCTGTCACCAACAGCTGAGAGCTCGGACCTGTCAGGCGTGCAAATCACGTGACAGCTGGCTAACAACACCCAAATCCTCTTGGGATCAAACGACTCGTGTACAGTAGCAAAGAAGCAATCACCTAAGTATATTTATCCCAGAGGGGAAGCACAAATGCTAATAAAGAACAATTCCAATCAGTTGATGTGGATGAATGTTATGACAAAGAGGCTTTAAGCCGTGAACTGGAGAGTTAAATCATGGTGGCTGTGAACAAATGCCCACATACAGATTGCAATGCTGACTGGGAGGTTGAATGGCTGGAGGGGTGTAAAAGCTTCCAAATCAGCCTGCCTCTGATCAATCAGACAGTGCAGACAGCTCCTACTAAGCCAAAACCATGGTATGAAATACAGATTTAGGGACACTGTGACCTGTGTTACTGTGTACCAGTTAATGTGAAATTAATGCTGTGCCGTTAAAACCTTTATTAACCATCAGACCTTTTCATTATTTCTATAAAGGTTGTCTATTCACAGCTCAGAGGAAGGAGCCCTGCTCAGGATATGAGTTAAGCAACTGGAGGCCATGGTGGTCTTGGAGCAGATGCTCCCTTTGGACCAGACTAAAAGTGTATTGTGGAGCGCAGCTGATAGGGGTATCAGAGACAGAAAGAAAAAGGAAGAAAAATCACCCAGGGGTAATTTACCGCACTGCGGAAACAAGACAGGCAGTAATATAAATCTCCCCTCCTCTCTCTTAACTCAACTGGAAATTAATTTTTTATCACATCCACAGGTTGACTCATTTAAAAACTCTCAAAAGAACCCTTACGTCTTACAAAGTGAATAGTTCAGGTTCCCCCCTGTGCGATACGTCAAATGAGCTCGAGGTTAAACTGAATATTGTCTTGCTTAGCTTTAGAAACCACACACAAATCTGTGGATTCCCTCCATTCTTCCAGATAAACTAAGCGCTCTTTTTAAATAATATCAGAAAGTATTAGAAAAATTTCAAACTAAAGCCCCCCCCAAAAATAAAAAATCAGAGCACAACCCACCTTTCTTTGTCTATCTCTACCATGTAAAAATGGTTGTTTTGCTTGGTTCCCGCACATTTATGTAGTTAGACTCTGCCCTCTGCAGGACTTCAGCTGAACTCTCCTTTTAAATGTCAGACCTGTCTGTGGAAAACCATGTAAGAGGGAGTTTGTGTGGAGACCTATTTATTGTGGTGTGAATCCAAGCAAGAGGGGGGTGGATATGTACGATATCAACCCCTACTGGCTAATGATGTTGCACACAATGATGGTAAGGGAGACACATGAAGGACTGGGGGTAGTTCACCCACGGCTCCGCTGTGATGGGATGCTCCTGAGTCTAAACAGCATATGGTGCCTCCCAGGGCATCAACACACGTCCTACATGTCCAGCAACACAGCAGGCTGCATCACACACAAAATGTTCACACATTTCTTCCATTGATTCATTCTCAAACCCGGCTTTTTGCAGCTATTGATTTGTTGTTTAACAAGGAAGTTGTGGTTGTTACCTTTCTGTTAATTAGAAAAACGTCCTATTGTGACGTGTCAAATCTCACACGGTGATCAACATTCACAGACACGACACAAGAGCTGAATACGTGACACAATGTGCTGACATGTCATTTTTCTCCTTGAATGGATGAAAAACTGTCTGTGAACTATAACATCATGATGAGAAATGTCATGCTAGTTCGTCTTTTTTATTTCTTATTTTATGTAAAAGGACATTGGATATCTTCAGGATTTTAATGATTGGCTGACTTATTGTGAGACTTTTATTCTTTCTAAATATTCAAAAACAAAATGATCTTTTATAATGTTTGGCATTACATGTTAAAATACCCTGTCATGAATTGTTATTTATAATAATTAGCAAATCATTTACATCAATTGAGTAATGCTGTTCATCAGTGATTCTGGTGGATTGAAAGATTATATAAAGGATAACTCCTTCATGTAAAAAGCATGTGCAAATATCATGACAATCAATCATCGCCCAATGTAATCTACCGAAGGTCCACAACTGCGAGCAGAAAACCTCATGATTGATTAAGTTGTCTTGGGGCAGCCTTCCCGGCGTTTCATTCTTCATACTTGACTTCCCCACCAGGGCCACCATCTTCATTCCTACAAACATTACATCATCCTGCTGGTAGTCCTTCATATGACCTCGCTCTTAAAAGAAGGGGGAGGGGGTGCGTGGACATCCCTGTCGAAATTATAATGAAAATCATTTGTTGTTGGCTGAATGGATTCCGACTGTTCTTCCTGAAGGGAAAATATTGTATGTGATGTTGGTTTTGTGCCATGTCTTCCCTAAGCCACAGCTGCTGCTGGTGGTGCTTACTGTCCAGGTCTCTCCTCCTTCCATAAATCATGAAGGAAAGTCAATAGAGTTGTTGGGATTTATGCGGGTTCCAGTCGTTTCCCATGAGATGATTTGCTGTTGATGGGCGACACAAACTCAACCATAAGAACAATTCAAAGGGATTTTCTTCAAATTGTCCTCTAACAACTGAGGCTGTTGTACTGTTTTATGGAGAACAGTAGGAAATCCATATCCCACTGGCTGTTTTGAGACAATAACCGTGAAACATTTAATAAAAACGAACAGTTTGTTAACTGATAATAATTAGTTACACCGATAATTACAACGATGTAATTTATCAGGTTTTTTTTTTTTTCATAAAAAGAAAATGAGTAGCCCGCATCGCCATGTGTGTTTTGTGTACATAGAGTGACCGACCATATGTCCAATGAGAGGACACATGGACAGGCCTTGCTCCTGAGTAACAGCCTCAAGAAAAGCAGTCAACATCTGCCATCACTCCCACGCAGCCCGTGGGATCTCACATGCAGCCTGCAAAAGCATCACGCATGGTCAGCACCCACGTCACATGCAAACCTCCTCATTTAGCTCCAATGGCCCTCCACCTCCAGTGTTTATCATCAAAAGGACAAATGATGATAATTAAAAAGTCATTCAATTGGCTGTTCTTACATAACAGACCGGTCTCACTTCCAGAAAATCAGCGGCTCCAATGACGGTGCCTGCCGTCATTCCCCTTCTCCACTCCCTCCCACAGCGCTGGTAATGATAAATGTCATGCTCCTCCCTCCTTTTTCTGCCTTTCCCCAGCCCTCATGGTGTGTCCCACTCAGGCGAAACTCCCACCTTCAAACCTTTAGAACGAGGGAATGATCCTCCGCGAACAGACCCCGAATATGCAAATCGGTTAATTCAGCTGCAGTTGCTCTCCCCGTAAGTGCATCTGCAGCACTTTCCTAAGACTGAGCAGGGAATAAATGCTTAGGTCGGGGCTTTTTTTTTCTTTCTTTTTTTTTTTGGTAGTGGTTAGGGGGGAGTGACTCTGTCCACAGCAGATTGCAGCCAAGGATGGGATTTGAAGAGTGGACCTGGGCATGCAGAACTAATAAGAGATTAAGACTGACCAGTGCAAACCTCAGGCCCAGCTGGTGACTGATCCTGATCTTTTATGGAGTAATTCATTTAATTGTGCTTTTCATCTTGGCTTAACTGTGTCTGCTCCCGCTGATAAAAATGTAGCATCCCTGCAGCTAACCTGGTTATCGCTTCTGCAGCGAATAACCTCTGTTTAACTTCTACATTGCACCAAAACTGCAACTGGAGTTCATCGTATGTGTGAAATACGTGTTTCCCCGCTGGAAAGATTAAACTGAAACCATCTGCAGTGCTAAAAAGCACCACAACATCAATCAATTTGTACAATAATATACACACAGAGATGGGCCAAATACAAAGCAGAGCTGAGAGTATACCATACTCCTCATACCATCTTCTGTCATTTGTCTACAACAAAACAACAATTCACTAGTTTGATATCTGTGATTATTGGTTTAAATGATAAAGACAAGAGTCTGTGTGACACAAGAAGCCATGGACCAATGTGTCATTTTAGAACAGGAAACACTTGAGTGGTCATCTTTGAAATTGGATGAGGTCTTGTTGATGAACGCAGAAAAACAACTTCTCCTATACACAAAAGCATTTGGTACATTGATGCCTGTTATTAACCTTCCTTCTCTTCATCTCTGTTGTGCTTTCTGCAGCCTTAGCACTAAAATCTGATTCAAGCTTTCTGTAAGCAAGTGCAATGCTTGCCAACACAAATGACAGCAGGAGTCGGCTGGGAGCCAAAGTCCTCCCCGGACTATCAGGAGAGAAAAGCAATCAAAAGAAGCAATCGATATAAACAAAGTCTTAACCACTATTGATTATTTACCTCGACACTGATGGGCAATGATAGTCGTGGAGCTATGTTCATACACTCAGCTGATTAATATCCTGACTAGTCTGTTTGGTAAAATGTTTCTTTGGTAAGAAAGAGGGCCAGATCACCCAGCAGCTCACTGGCAGTGCTGTGTCTGTTGTGACATTCCAGTTGGATGCAATAGAAACTGCTCCTAAGCTCAGCATCCTGCAGTCTCATCACTCACTGGAAGGCGGACTGTTACTTCCATCAGCTGCATTTGAGTTTGGAAAAGTCAGCAAGTTTTCCTCTGCACACGCAAACTGTAGTATATATTTATGACACACACACACACACACACACACACACACACACACACACACACATATATATATATATATATATATGTACCTATATACGACAAATGACTGTAATTTGATAAGTCATTCTCTCAGTGACTTAAGAGCAGGATTGAATATGAGCATAAATAAACCCTGCACTGCCTTTTGCACTCTAATGGAGACTTAAGTTTTCGGGATTCATCACAGAACCAAGGCCCGTGCTTAACTATCAGCCTGCCATCATTTCAGCGACTGGATAGGAGCTGAACGTAGACTTTTGTAATTCCATTAAAAAATAAGCCCTTTGTTTTTGTTTTTGACCTTTCGTTTTTCTCACGTGAGTGATATGTGCAACCCTACAGCATGTCCGTGATATATTCAAATCTTTGGCCTTCATAAACGGCACGGTTAACCATTATCTTGCCTTTTAGTGTATCTTCAATAGCGTATGGATTTATACTGAGGGGATTTTAAGACTGATATTCATGACCAGCAGAAGTTAAGTCAGCGTAATCCAAATGTTTTCTCTCTAATCCACTGATATTTACAATAGACCAGATGTTACTGCTAGCCTCCCAGTAAATTGTAATAGCTTTATCGTTCCTCAGATTTCTCATGCAGAAGCATCAGCAGGCCAAGATGTGATGGGTCTACCAATATTCACTTGACAACATCAGTTAAACCTGTTTCTCTCCAAGGGCAGGGATAAGGCCCTCTTAAGAAACTCTGGGACAACCATAAACTTAAGCCTTGATTTTCAATAATCAAATTAAGAGATTACAACTCTGTAACCAGGTGAGCAATGGATACCTAAGTGCAGGTCAATGCCACACATAACACACTCTGAGATGTACACACTCCCTTTGCTCTAACATTGGCACATTCAGAAACTAGTGCTGCTTGGTACATTAGGAAGAAAGTGGCAACTAAATATGTCAATAAAACTGAAGTAGATTCAAGAAACTAAGGTTTGATAATTTACTATATTTCCAAACGACAATAAGTCCACTGCAATTATAAAAACAGTTACATTATACCAGCACTGGACCAGCTAACAGCAAAAAGCCTTGGGAGAAAATACTTGTGGTGATGTTAAGGCTGGCCGTGTGATGGACTGGCAATGCGTCCAGGCTGTACCCTGAATCTTATCCAATGGCAGCTTGGATAGGGTCCAGCACCCTGACGACCCTGAACTGGATTAAGCGGGTATAGAAGATGAATGGATGGATTGATGATGGGAAGGGAGGCTGGCAAGTCTGCAGACCGCAGCTGTAAACAACTGCACATTTGGATGCAGATAATCGCATCAAATCAGTGTCGTAATACACATATCTATACAGGAATTTCTGGTTTATTTCAAAGACACTTTTGTGTTATTCTTATTAATACGTGATCTTGCAGACTCCTTATGTGGTTAATAACATATGGGTCTTTTTACAGGTGTCAACATGCCAAATGTTATGACATATTAATTGGCTCAGAATGCTTAAAATAGGCTGATAAAATAAACAACTGAGGTACAACATCACCGAAGCAAAGCAGGAAGTTTTCACTTACTATGCTCACATAAAAGATAAACCTTGATTTGCTTACCAGTAAAATTGTGATGCCAATGTAATAATATGTAAAAACAACACATGAATGTTTAAACTGTGATTGAAATTGCACATTTCCTCATATCAATTTTTCTAATTGAAAAACTCTGAATGTTTATTTCAAGAGTATACATACCTGCTAACATGTTTTTTTTATGGAAAATATTCATAACATGGTCAGATTTAAGGAGGTGTTCACCAAAGACAAATATTGCACATAAAAAAATGATATTTCTAAGTGCTGTCGTGCAAAGGAATTGGTGGTTTAATCATCTGTGCACAAAGCACTCAAAAAGCATTGAGTATCTCTTTTGTTGAGGAAAAACAAAACAGCTATTGAAATCCTCGTTAGTGCAGTGAGGGTCGTGTAATGGAAATCACTGAATAAGATGAAGAACACTTTACAAATCCACAGCCAGTCAAGTTCATCACCATATCCACAAACACCAGTTAAGCTTGAATTATTAACAAAACATGTCACTGCTTTCTTTGGGCCCAAGTCAGCTTAATGATGGACTTAATGATGGCAAAGTTGGAGTGTCCTGTGATGTGAGAAATGAAATCAAAATATTCTGGAAATAGTGAATTTTGTGACCTTCACAGCTCTATCTATAAAGGCATTTAAAGGCAAAACAGTAGTTTTCAGAAAAAAAATGCAGCCATCAAGATCGCATCTGTTTTAAGGAAGGAGTTGTTTATTTCAGCAAGATAATCCAAAACTAGCTGACTTAATACTGAAAGAATCCAGGTGTTAAACTGGCCACCTGGAGTTCTGACCTTTCAACCAATAAAACCATATGATGCAAGAAAAAACTAAAAAATTGTGGAAACATTTTGTTTCCTCTATTCTAAAGCAGTTTTAAAAAGCAGGTGGTGATGAAAAACAGCACACTGTATTTCTAATGTAGTGAACAAGTATGTTTGAAAAATAAATCAATGCTTGCCTGAATTTTGACATGTGAAATGTTGTCTTTATGCGTTTTTTTGGTTAATAATGTGATTTGACTGCATTTCCCTTCGGTCCACTCAGATTTTCTTTTCATTTGCGCACAGCCTCCCAACTTTTCTTGCATCAGAGTTGTTGCTCCTCCTGTTTTCAGGGCATGAAATCTACTTTAAGCAGTTTTTAGTAACCGCAAAGCAGCAAAACAAACTATTAAAATTTAATGCTTGGAGCATTAAAAAACTCTCACGTTCTCAAAAGCCCATTTTACTAATACCCATCAAATCTTGTATCAATAATTCAACCAGCTCAGGGGTTTTGCGATATCCTTTAATGAGATGGAGAGTTAGAGATGAATTCACAGTCAGGTCATAGCTGAGCTGTCAACACAATATAATTCCCCAGAGGCTGAGGCCCTCCAGCAGTCTGCTGTCTCTGTAAACAACATGGTAAGGCCAGTGTGCAGATCATAACTACGTCTACTTCGATTTATGCACATCATAGCTATCAATTTCTGCTCTAAAAAATTAACATTCCCAATTTATTCAAAATCGTTATGTTATGTTAATTCATTGTGACTGGATTGAGTAAAAGAACATGAGTTCAAATGTGAGCAGTGAGAAACAGTTTAAAGAAGGTGAAGGATACACAGGATATGTGTGTGATTAGTGTGTGTCCATGACAGATTTTCTTTCCACGCTCTGCAGTGAATCTCAAATGAAATCCGAATTGTTTTGATACATTTGGCATCACATTAACTTTAAAAAATTCCATCAGTCCTTTGACCTGTCTCTTCTAAGAGCAGATTATAGGAGCTATCATGAGAACACAGTGTTACAGTTTTGAAGGTACAGGCCACAGCTTTTGGCAAAGCTGAGCCCGGTATGAAGACAAGGCATGAAAAAAGGTAACACAAACATTTCTTCCACAAATAAAACACTGTTAAAAACTTTTGTCTGGTTAAGGGGTTAGTAAAAATCTGAGACTGTGTGTCTGAAACTGTACGTAATTTCTAATGCCTAGAGGGTGATGATCATGTGGTTAAATCCTTTATACATTCGGCAATTTAGCCAAGATGATCGTTTACAGCTGTGTAATATATCCAAACTACCCTACATGCATTTAACAACATATATGATTGATCATTTATCTTATCTCATTTTTGTACATAAGAAAAACCTTGAATTTAAAAATCCATCCACAATACCACAACTAATATTCTATGTTATCCCAAACAATGGAGCTGAACTAACTTCAGAAATATAAACAGCACACTCGTGATGCAGACATAAATCAAATCTGTATAACAACACCACAAATCCCCAATTTGAATATGAACTTAATCAGACTTTATTGATACTGCCACTACAAATAATTAACATTGTAGTAATAAATAATCCATTTAAGATTTTATATATCAGTGTGAGTCCTGCAGTACCTACAATTTCATTAGCAAAATACAACTAAGAATCATTTGTGAGTGGAATTGTTTAAAGTTGATAAAAATGACAATTTATCTGTGAACGCAGTGAACCTCACTGCGTTCACACCAAAATTAAACAAATATTCTGAATGGTTTATTAATATGGTTTATTAATTTGTCTCACAGGTTGGGCATTTGAAACTTTAAGGTAAGAGTCTGTAGGTGGTGGATTATAGTTCAAAGTTTAGATCCCTTTTTTTATGTTGTTGCTAAAGCTGCGTGCTTTCAGTGGTGACAAATCTATTGGATGTTAGTCTCTCGGCCTGCACATTTTGGTCATATATTACCGTGTCTGTCGTTAATCAATATGCTTTATTAATCGGGTGGCTTGGTTTACTCACATTGGAGTCAAGGAGATCGATGCTATCCAAACTCTTGCTCCTGTGGATGCGGCCCTTGATGCGGCGGAGCGATGGCTTGCCCTGACCGGTGCTCGCTGAGGACGCTGCTGTGACGGAGCCAGCGGTCGGGCTCGGGTGATGCCTTGGATCAGCACAGCGGAGTAGATAGGAGACAGAGAAAGACGACAGCACAACATCAGAGGCCGGCGAGCACACAAAAGACATGGTTGTATCACAGCATGACAAAGTGCCACTGGCAAGACGGAGGTGGCCCACCAGGAAGATTGTGGAAACGTCTGTGCTTTTTAAAAGGCCGCAGTTACCCTCTGGATGAAATGGCATTTAAAGAAATCTATAGTAAATGCCAATGGATTTAATTTCACGGAGGCACTGAAGGGGAGCCAACTCGGGCTGAGGAAGCGCAGCGGGTCTGGCCAGATCTGAGCGCCACAGCGGCCAACCCGTAGCTGGGTCATGGTGAGATGTGGGGCTGACCCGTCACAGATACTCTCAGTATCAATGTAGAACTGTTCACAAATGACACACTTAAAGCAGCCCTGCTGGAACCCTGCTGAACACGCTTCACGCTCCTACATCTAATTCTCTTTGTCTTTGTCATTGTACATTCTCATTGTGTAAAAAAAAAAAAAGGCATTTTAAAACAGTGTCACACTCCAGCATGATTTATCTCTTATACCTTTTACGTACGCGTTTTAATTCTATTGCTGCTAAATCAGGCATCAAATTAAAATACTCAGATCATTTTCAGGTTAAACTGAGGCCAGGTTAGAATTTTAGGGCTGTGTAAAATCTCAGTTTTTGTCAAGCTGCTAACCAGCCTTCAGGCCATTCCTGTTTACATAGCCAGACAAACTGTATTTTTTTTCCAAATTAAACTTGGTTCTGGAATGCTGGTCAAACACCAGCTTTGATATTATCTGAAAATAGCCCTCTGATCAAAATGATTCTTTGATACCTTTCTTTCATTTTATGAAAAAACCCCAAAGAAAATACAAATAATCTGTCATAGAATACTGTAGCTTTAGCTGTTACCCAGTTTAATGTAGGTTCCTTTGCTTCTCATGAATATAGAGAGCTCGTACACTTATTGTTACACAGTTTGATGCTGCTGTTACAGCCTCATCTCTCCTTTTCTACCCCCTCTTCGCCAACATAATATGAGATGTGAAAAATCCCATCCGCACAGCGTGCCTCTGAGATGGTAGATACCCATTAGCATGCTGAACAGCAAGCTGGAGGAGCTCCTGGAGGTTTGAAGGCTCAGCAAGGATACATAATGGGAGAACAGGATGAGCAAAGATTGGAAGAAAGGGAAAACCACATTCCACTTTCCATCTGCATTAATTCCACAGTCGCTTGAAATATACCAAAGTGCTTGGTGGCTGCAGAGGCTGGGTAAAAAGCATTCAACAATACATGCAGTCAATTACGGCCGACCCCAGATTGTTCTCATAAACAATTCAGCAAACATGACTAATGAGAAAAGCTGCTTGGACTGTAACACCGAGCTGCTGCAGTCCTGCGCATTCCGAGGCTCATTTCTTGGATGTTGATTCTGAAATGGGTTTCAGCCAAAACACCTCAGGCCACAAAGGCCCAACGTAACATAGTGCCAGCAACTGTGCCGACTCAGATATAACGTGCAGTGAATTATTTCTTCCTCTCTAACAAATCTGCAGGTATAATGCGTTTCACCTGAGATTTGTGAGAATGTAAAAGGCAGAGTGATTTAACCACAGTCTATGCTTTTCACTTCTCATATTTATAAGGACATTTAAGACTGCATATAGATTAAAGGCTTTGGGAATTTGGCTCCTCCAAATGTCTGGCAGAGTTAAGAAAATTCGCATGACTTTTTAAAATGATTTTTAGACTCATGAAGGTTTATATTACAGTGGCAGGTAATACTTCCTCTGTAGTGTCTAAGTGGTGAGGTGGTCACCTGAAGTGACCAGAACACTTTCATTTATGTTCTGTTAAGTAGTAGCTCTATAATAGGATGCAATTAATACCCCAGAGGTAAATCGTGAGTCATATGCAATGTGCTTCTTAGCTTTCTTGTGAAAAATAGCTATAAAAATCAAATAGCTTCATGCAGTAGCAATGCATTTCATGGGAACCTGGTACCAGTTCAGGCCTTTCTTAAGCCTGGAATCAAAGAAGACAATTATTCCACATGTATCTCCCCCAAAAAGCACAGAAAAAACAGATAGCCAGCATTACTAGGTAAATCTTAAATATTCTTTGTATAATTTGTGTAATTCAATAAGTTTGAGATTTGATAGGGGCGATCACATTTCTTGGCCCAACATCAGAAGTGGCCAATATTCAACATAACTTAAAGCTGAAGTTGATATTTATCAGTAGTAGAGGCATTGTTAAAAAAAGTATAGACTCCTTTACATTTTGTTTGGCAAAAAGAAATGTCATCATATTACATCATACTCATCATATACTGACCTGCCAATCAGTAAGTCATGGCTAAAACTGTAAAATGCCTGTTAGCGGGGTTTATGAGGTCAATCGCTTATTTCTTTTAACTTTGGCTGGGGAAAGTTGTGATACAGGTTTCAATGAATTGAGTTGTGTTGATCTAAAGGGAGAGGTGAATGACAAGGTGTTCAGTTACTTTTTGTAAAAATGTGCAATGGCTTGTTACTCTTGCATGAAATGTTTGACAAACAGCAAAAATGAATTCATAGCGGTCATCCGCCAATGTACCAATTATTTTTAGTATTGGTGTCAGCTCAGAATTTCCAAATGAGTGCATCCTTAATTATTACTGTGCATCTTGCTGCAACCTCCTTAAGACTGGCTGTAGGAAATACTTCAATCAGTGACACCCTGCAAACCGCAGCGTTTCAAACACTTCAGCAACAGTACAATAAATAAGCCCTCCTTCCATTGCCCTTTGTTCAGTAATTAAGTGTCACACCAAAGCTATTTTTGAACAAGTCCTTTATTTTGATCTCAGCTACAAAACCGTGAGCCTTTGTGAGTGTATCACAGAGAGAGCCACCACAAAGTGACGTAAAAAAGCCGTGGAGTGCTAAAAGGCGGCGCCAGCCACAGCGGGTTTCTGCTGGACTGCAAACTGCCAGGAAGAAATATCCACACATTCAGAATCCCAATGAGAAAACAATGCCAGCTCTTCTGTCAGAATTATGGACATGCAGCTTTGTTAGCCGGGCTTGTTTACAGGTTAGCTGACAGGCTGCCGACACTGCAGGCGACATGAAGCGGCCATTGTTGTTCCACTCAAACCTTCAGTGAGAAAGCCAGGGTTTTCCTAAAAGTCTCACTATGGCTGGAGTGGCTGTTTGTTCTGAGCTGCTCTTGATTCTACGTCCTCTCTGCCACTGAAAGGATGTGTTCCAGTTTCGTCTCCTCTGATGTAAAAAAGCTGTGTGGATGCTGACTTTTACCAATAATGAACTTGGAAGCAGCCTCAGAGTTTTGTTTTCTGCTTTGTCTTAACAAGCAGGTTCAGCATTCATTGTGTGGCGTGTTAAAAAGAAACAACACAACGGAATCTGTTTGGCCCTGATATGATGGGTGTGTGAGTCTTGGATCATTTACTGTCTGAGTGAACAAAGAAAATCCACTTCAGAAGTTAATGGGATGAGATCAATGCCAATGCCCCTGATGGCCAGATGACCACAACTGAGTATAATAATGTTGTTCACAGATAAGGTCGTGCAGATGCCTGCCATTGTGACAAAGGGAGGATGGTAAACACACACACACACACACACATTGATCAGTTACAGGCCTTTATGCTGTCCCACAGGCTGCCGGAAGGAGCCATCAGTTACGATTAGTTCAAGCAATAATGGCTGGTGCTTAATCAGCAGGTCAATATGCAATGTTTCTCCTCATTTCTCTTTTCTTGGCCAGTGAAAATACAATATTTAATTCTGGCTGTTGTGTACCACACACGCACACTAGCACACGATATAAGGCAGCAGATTAACTTTTTGGTAGCAGAGGTGCAAGTGAAAATAAGATGAGCATTATGTAACTGCAGTAGACTTGTTGTATTATCTCTGCAGGCATGCAACAGAGTGTAAAGTTCATTAAATCAGGTTAATGCAAATCTTTGGCTGTGCACAAGAAGGGATGAGTTTTTAAGACTGCAGGCAAGAGAAACATCTGCTTGCAGAGTCTAATCCTAATTTAGAGAGCCGCTGCTGTGCTGCCTTTCTAAAAGCAGAGCTGCTCCTCCTCTGAGAAGAGTGCACATGGTGCACACAATGCCCGGTAGGTGAATGGTGTTAGCATTCAGGCAGAGCCGTGTGTAATCCAACCAGCCCTCACTTTGAGATCAGCAGCACAGGAAAGCAGCTCTGGACTTTTCACCATAAATAGGACAGAATTAATGCTGCAATTATAAAGCAAGCAGCCCAGAGAAGGGTTCTTAAACCACACACTGAGCTGTTTTATTAGTATCACAAATCTAAATGCTTCTTTTCTTTCATTCACACCCTGACATCTGCTCTTTTATTAGTGCATAAAATGTGAGTGACAGAAATGCGTCAGTATCCAGGGTAGTTTTTAAATCCTTGCGGGGAGAAATATAAAGCTTACAAAACTGCATTTCTTTAGGCTTCATTTGCATCCTCATTTTTTCCTTTTTCTGCGAAGAATTATATTGAAGGGTTAGATATCTTCAAAAACAGCCCAGCCTATGCAGAACACATTTTTTTTTTACAAATTGAACACTGCAGTAGTAAATAAGACAGAGTTGAGTTTAAAGGTCCTGATAATCCACTTAGAAATCTTCTTTGGTAAAGAAAGAATAAAACTTATTTTGATCCAGTCGCAGATTAATGTGGAACCTCTCTACAGATAAGAATTTCAGCTTGTATTAGTACATAAATGACACAAGTAGTCATTGACTGATCAATAACCTGTTTCTGGGGTTGTGTATGCTGGTTAATAAGACATTTCTTATAAAGGGATACAGAAATCTACAAACACAAAGAACAGAAAAATATGACCAAATACATTTAAACACTGCAACACTATTGTTTTCTAAATTTATGCAGTATTCAATGTACTTTGAATCTTCTGGACTTGATCTCAGTAAAAAAAAATGTTTTTAAAGAAACTTTGACCATCTACACCCCCACTAACATCCTCACCATGAATGTAAGACTATTGTAAAACTGAATAGCCTTACATTGTAACAATGTAAGACTATTGTAACAATTGTAGATACTAAAAGTAAAAAGAAATGATTATTTTATTATTTTTTTCAGAATTAATTAAAATCCCAACAATGAAGGGAAACTGTGCTTCAGCATTCTTTCAGAAAGTCTTTCTCTGCACGGTTTAGCGTGGTTCACTTTGACCTTTTGGTTATGCAGCTGTTACTGTCACACTTTAGCGTCCATGGCATTTCCTCCCTCTTTTCTGACTTCCATGTGGCTTACAGAGAAATGTGCACATAAATAAATGAACAGCGGGATGAAACGTAACACAGACAGGTAACTCACTAATGTTCATTCATCACTGAGTTTGCACGATCCTCTTTTTGAGGCTGAATATTACAATAATACTAGACTATTAGAATAGTACAGAGTTTTACAACAATAGGGACTTTGAAGAAACGTACCACAGAATAAAAAAAATCCAAAATTTACCAATGCAGATGTTTGTGCTGTAAAATGGCTGATATGGTTCTTTAAACATAAATTGATGTCCACTTCATTAATTCATGTGACAATGAACAGTGGTTCTGCTCTTAAACATAGAATATTATTCAGCTCACTAAGGCAAATTCTGCACCTGTTTAAAAGTGCTTAAGCCTTTTTGCGTTGGCACTCTTATTTGACAGGCTTCTGCTTCAATTTAATTAAATATGTGGTGTAAGTATGAAAGCGACAATAAGGAATGAAAAATGAAAGCGGCCGTGGGTCTTATCTTCTCCTCGGAGGTAACATAAAGATGACTAAGGAATATGATTAGCCAAAGATGCTGAGAAGTAATGAGCTGCATGTGATAAGCGGGTGACCCCTGCTGAGGTTATAGCAGCATTTTGACTTCAAGTGCTTAGAGGGGATGCCAGTTGGACTTGATATCAGTTTCAGTAAAACCACATTGCATTGCAGGAATAAAGACATCATGAATAATTGTAGATGCTCTAAAAATCATGATATGGAGGTGATGGTGGGGATGTTTGTAAATTTCTCCGAATGATTATCTGTCTTTGTGGTGATGCTCGGAGATCTCCTGCATTGTGTGTTAGGTCCTCTCTGACCTCACAGAAATGGTACAAGTCATGATAACGGGTGAGCTTCTCACACAACAAAGCCCCACCACTGAGATCCACGGTGTGCGATACGTTTATAAGGCACTATCGGGGCACCAGCGAGCCCGTTGACTCCTAATTAGCCATCTCTGCTTTCAAACGAGATTGTAATCCAGCTGTAATTATCCCAAACGTTGCAACCGTGGCAGCAATCTGCTTAGATGGAGGAAGAGGAGTGAAAATGAAGGCTTGCCTTGTAGTAAACAAAGGAGCAGGCCGCAGGAGGAAGGAGGCGGAAAAGTGAAAGGTGGTCGCTGCAATCTAATGGAGCACACAGAGTAATGAGGACACAAAAGAGGTGGATAGACACGACACAAACACATGATGAGAGTAGAGTATGGATACAGTGTTTAATAGACAGAGAAATGAGGTGTACAGAGGCCTGGCTGCAGCGCAGGTAATAAAAACAGGAGAGGAGCATGTTTCATGCTGTACATTTTATTCTTCAGTCTTAGCAGAGCAGTGGGTTTCGGTGAGGAGTTAGGGAAGAGGAGGGATGGTTTACCACATGGTTAGCTTGATGATTACACTTCCAGTTACAACAGCAGTGCAGTGGAGGCTGGAAGGAGCATTAAAGCACACGAAATTAAAGGCTAGGAAACAATGATGAGCCCCCATGACATCATCCTACGCATTCAACTTTACAAACTAATGGAGGGGAAGGACATGGCCAGAGCCACTTCTCTTCGCACGCGCGCGCACAGGCACTCACCGGCACGCACGCACGCACGCATGCACGCAAACTCCCAGCATGCGGAGTGGTTGCCATACCTACTGTGTGCACGGAGCATAGGGTTAGTAATGATTGCAACATGGTGCAGACTGGCCGCAGTGGCTGACAGGAGTATTATGTCATTTCGGTAGGGTGAGCCGCGCGCATTTTGGCTCAGACGTGGGAGGCGACGGTTCGGTTCACGGCAGCCCCCCCTCGTCCTCCCAAACCTGCATCACATCATCATCATCATCATCATCATCACCATCATCCGCAACCGAAAAATTGATACTCACCACATACGCTTCCTGGGTGGAAGACAATGTTCTTTGTTGGAGGCGGTCACCCCCAGAGCCAGCTGCATAACAGTAATGTATTTCTGGTAATTCACCATGGTACTGTCCACCGCTACTAAAAATCCAACCCAAAGAAAAGCACAGGTGATCATATATTTCTTTATTCCTTGGCATCCGCCTCCGCTGCGTCTTCCATGCTCAGCATCACAACGCCATTTCCAGCGCTGAAGGACTGACAGTGAAAACACTCCCCAAGGAGCTGAGCGAAAGGTGCCGTACCGCTGCGACCCATGTCTGCAATGACACTCTGACCGTGTTTTAGCGCTTGCAAACGGATGGCCGATCCATCCGATTTGTTGTTTTTTTTTTTTTTTTTTTTTACCAGAGTAAAATATTTGCTTTTCTTTAAAAATAAAAAAAAAATCAACACGGCCAGGATTTGGACATTATCTTCTTCCTCCTGCCTCCTCCCTCATATCCAGGGTTGGAAACACTCTCTTAAAAACGCTGCAGCGTCCAGGAGTCCGTGTGTGTGAGGTAGGGGAAGAGTGTGTGTGTGTGTATAGTGTAGTCAGAGGGGAGCGACTGGGAGGGAGGAGAGGAGAGGGAGGGAGGGGTGGAGAGGGGTTTGTCAAGAGACTGATTTGCGTAAAGATGCCCGGTTGTAGTATCAGTTTATGACGCCAAAAGTTTGCAGAAAAATTAGATACATTTGGGCTTGCTTTTGTAGAAAGTATGAGTCTTTGTGTTATGTAATACTTCCAGGAAGCGGTGATGGCTTACAGGGGCGTAGCTCGGAGCTCAGATCACCCTGAGCCCCGCACCCTTCCCTTGAGAAATTAATGGCTTTTGCATTCCATTTCTGGACTTGCTGTCCTTGTGTCATACAAGTAAACAGATGAAAAATGAATGAACGATCTGAAGATTTACAGGGTTTAGCCATTGGCTGATGCAGGATCAGAAGAAACCGCAAACCTAACCCTAAACTGATTGGGAATACACATATTAAATCAAGCCCTATACGGATGACAAACGGTGCATGGAAATATCAGGGATTGTTAAAAGTAAAAAGAGTGCACATGCTTACAGCTTTTCGGGGGCATTACTAGACATAAAGCTCCATGGGGAAAATGTCCCTCTGATTATTTAAATCACATAATTTCCCCCCTGAATGCCCGTTCTGCCGTTTGAGCTTCCCTTGCTTGACCTGTGTCTCTGCCATACTACTGCCTCTAAAACTGTAACAGATTATAGACCTAACAAAAAGAAATATCCACATGAGATCAATCATAAGAGCTCTGTGAGTGGTGGCGTGAGAGCTTTTTGTAGGATAAGGTATCTTTAGGGACACAGTCTGTGATTGCAGTCCCAGTGAGCAGGTGCAGTAAGAATGAGTGGTGGACAGTGACAAATCCTGTTGTGATTCCTTCATAATTGACAGACCAAAATTCATCCTGAGCCTCATTGTTAGTTCATACCTCAATGTCATTTTTGAGGTTTTACAGATTAACTAAGGCACTGTTATGTATTAGGATGACTTGGATACACAACTCTAGTTTTTTTTCTTGAAATGGCAAATTCAAACATCGAACCAGTTGTAGTACATCTATATGAACTGACCACTGTACTGGGGTGTCACAGATTGTACAAATAAAAAAAAACATCCTGGAATACGCATTCAATAACGATTGATCAGCGGGTCCTATAGGCTCATTCACAATGTCCCTGCATATCTTAACCTAGAGCTAACTTGAAATTGAACATAGTATTTCTCAACTTTTGTCCAACATATTATTCCTTTTAATCCTAGTGTGCACTCAATCCCAGGTTTTGACACCTAATCCATTCCTCTCACGGGCATGAATGCGCATGCACTGGGGACATGCACCAGGAAGTGGTTCAGAACTGCACAGATGTGAGCCCACAGACTCTAAGTGTAGCTTTACATAGCTCCACAATGAAGGGGATTTAAATCATTGCAGATTGATGTTTAGATGCATAATTGGTATGCCAGTCACACATACAGTTTCAGCGGACTTCTCTCACTCCCATGAAAGCATCCACCCATTTCCCATACCCTCTTCATTCTTTTAAACCAGTACTGTAGTCTATTCTTGCCACCATCGATCAGGAGGTGGGGGTGCTCAATGACCAGTCCATCACAGACCAGCACTAAGACTAAACGGATTAACAACAATGTACAGTCATGTTCTCTGAACCAAGGATTTAGAATTTAGAATCACCTAATAGCATAGCATGGATGATCTTGAACTGTGGATGGAAACCCAAGAAACAAACAGTACACAAACAACCGCACAAAGAGTCAAAGCGGAGCCATTTTAAGGCACATTCCTGCATCCGAACCACTGCACCAAAGTCCAACCCTGATCAAGGCAGAAAAAGCAGTATTCCCCACCATCTGTGCAGAAAAATCCGATGTCACGGAAATGAAATCATGAACTTAATATAGAGTAATGGAATCAGCACAAATGGCTACAGTTTACTCAGAAGTGGGGAGTTCTTTTCAACATAGGTGTTAGTTTGTTGCTGATGACCATTCACATGTGACAAAAAAACTGAAAATGGAAACAGGAACAGCTATAATTTAACTTGTTAGCTTGTCACAAGAAATATCATCATAAATAATCTGCAACAAAACACTGTATGATTCAAGTCTTGGACAACTGACAATTTGTGAGATCAGAAATGCACAAGGTGAATGTACTGATGCCTCATTGTCAAGCCCACTCACACAGAATTAAACGTGTACACAGAGAAAATCAGGATATTCTCATCACATATTAACTGCTGTTCATGAGTCAGTGCAGAAATGCTTATTCAACTGGATTAATTTCCATCAGACTTAATATCCAGAAATAACTCTTGTATTTATCTTACTGAACTTCTTAAAAGGGAAATGTCAAACATCTATTGCAGCCACGCAGAGTTTTTTCTTTCTGTGTGACTAACAGTGTTGTTGGAAGTTAAATAGATAATATTCAATATTTCTAATGCTATTACTACATTTTTAAATGTTTTTTCTGTAGATTAAGGTGTATTTACCACTGAGGGTGTGTGTCTTTGTCCTGCGTTGATGGAAAACAGTTTTGGAGTTTGATAAAAACTCACGGTGGCGTGATAAACAGCAGCTCTGCCTCAATGGACTGGGCCCGTATCACCTGTCATTAGCAGCAAACAGAGGCTGGTGGGGGTTGTTTTTCAGTCAATAGACTGACACATTGCTGCCTTTCTGAGCTTCAGAGTAAGTCGATTAGTCTGGACTTTGAGGTCTTAGGGAAGTGAGCCGCTTTCTCACCTGAGCAGGGGAAGAGTGCTTTTCACTCTCATCAGACAGACCAGACAGATTTAAATAAAGATGTCTGAGAGGCCAGATAAATGGAAGCTGAGTGTCTTAGATGCTTCTGCTGTGAGAAAGACAACACAATCGAGAAACTACTCTAGATTACGTGAACATTTTGTCTTAAATTAATAATCATATTTGAGAGTTTTTCAGTCGTATGGCTGCACAAACTGAGTTTGAGAAAGACTGAATTTAACAGTTTCACACATCAACTGTAAATACTATGCTTTTGTAAAAGCAAATTTTTCCCTTCATTATTTTTGGAAGATTCAAAACAATGATAAATGTCCTTGATTAAAACGTGGGGTTTTAAAAAACACACAGTGTGTTTATCTTCCTGTATTTCAGTGATCGTAGCATTTACAACAAGGCTGGTGTACAGTAATACACTAAGTGAACATAAAGACCTCTTTGAAATGTAACTCAGCTCTTTTTGTGGCTGCCAGCTGGTTACTTCTGGGTGACTGGAAGCAGAAAGGTCTTTAGGGCATTGGAGGAACCTAAATTCATCCACCGCACATATGCTCAAAAACTCTTTCATCCAGTACCTGCTGATGGCAAAGCTGAGATCTGAGGTTATCTGTGCAAGCATTTTGCAAATGATGAAAGTTGATTTGATTATTTTATTAAAGTGTCATTGCAGCAAAAGCCAGAGCAAAGACCAAAAAGGGAGATAAAGACATTACAAAGTAGATGATAGATGATATAGATGATATACAGTGGCAATCAAGCACACTTGGTGAACTCAAACATCCTGCAAAGCTGGATGTCCTGACTTCCAGAGGGCAATGCTTTAACAGCCCGAAGTTCTGGCCTGTAAATTCACAGTCTCCTCACATTATCAGCCTTTTACATGGTTGAAGAAGCAGGACATGCTCGCAAAACCTGAAGCGCCTACAGTGCACTTTACACACTAATAGCTCACTGACAGGGTAGACTCTTGGTCAAGATCATTTAAAGCTCTAGATGAGATTAATCTCGTGTTAAATACTTGATATAATGTTAAGTGAGTAACATGAGAATGATAATTCAGTTTTCAGAAAGTAATCCTGTTGTGGAGTCTCACTGTAATAGTAACTGGATAACACTGCCCATAAATCAATGTGTTAAAAAAAGTTAGTACAAAATCAGACTGTGTAGGATAAGTCAGTTTTCCCCACAGAAAACTTCTACACTGGCTGCCCATTATCATTAATGTCCTCTTTTCTGTTGGTGTCCTCTTGAATCCTGTTACCAACACACCGCTAATGAAATCTTCAGAGCCCTCCAACAAACCTACTAGCAAAGCACTATGTCACCTCCCATTAACTAACATGCCATTGAGATAACGCTCCTGATTAATAAGACACAGCACATCATCATTATCAGACACGTGAGACACTGCAGCCATTAGTGGATGGGGGAACTTCTTGGGATACTGTCTGTGGCTTTCCTTCACATGCACACATTGTGGGGAGTGTGTCAGTGGGGAAGCACTGACAAAGGAGTGGGTCAGCTGCCCTGCTGCAGTCTGAAGCCCACTGCATATCCATGCACACTCCACTGCAGCACTTTGATTTCACATTGGCATCCCCCCCCTCTGCATCTCCACAGTAATGGCTCAGAGCAGTCTGCCCCATCATTACCCTTCTCACATGAGAACCCACTGCTGACATCTTCTGCTGCGCGCCGCACACTCACACTCACATCCACGCACGCCGACGGCAGCGAGCTCCCTCAGACACGCTCGGGCACACG